TTTCAATATGGGTTTTCATTAAAGAAAAAAAAGAAAGTATTAATATAATTGTAATAATATGAATTCTTGATAGAAACAGATAACCCTTGATATTAAATTTTGTTTATTAAAAAGAAATTTGTGAATATACAAAGTCAATGGACCTCGTATCAACACAAATTTAGGGTTATAAAGCATTCTGTGGTGATGGAAAATATTTCAAAGAAACTTAACGACGACGTGAAAGTAGTAGTATTGAATTGTAATACATTAATTACATATCCGTAATATTTATTTTGTGAATCAACTTTCTCGTTCTTTCTGTTTCTTTTATGCTTAAATTTCTGAATACAAAATTTACTTAATGTTCAACTTTAGATTACAGATATTCTAAAGTATTTAGTTTTGAAATTTGTTAATATAAGAATTCCCATTAAAAACATTATGTGTAAAAGTACTAAATAAGTACAGTCCTCAAATAGTATATGTCTATGAACACCTTAGAAATAGGAGCTGATATAACCAATGAAATATTAAAGTATCGAATAGATAAGTACTACTAACGGTGAAGAAGAAAAATAATCGTTTACGCTCGCCGAAAGTAATGTATTATTATTTTATAATACAGAGGATATCTTACAAAGATTTCGCCGCGAACATCATGGGTATTGAATTGCTGGAGGAAATGAGGGCTGACGATGATTAATTAATCTGTGTCATTACTTGCATTGCTGGCACGTTAACGTCGATTATTATTAACATATTAATATTATTATCATTACAATGTATTGCAAGTTCTATTAAACATGTACCAACACTAACGTATTTATCCATGTTCCTTGCTTAAAGCGTTAAAAAGAAAATCAACGTTTCAGCAATCGACAGTTTTGATTATGAAATTTTTATTAACACTCAAATCGTCTGGGACAAAGATGAGTTCAATTCACAAAAAGGGCTACGACCCTTTTTCTTTTTCTCCTTGAACTCTGATCGGCACTCGTTCATTTTTTGTTACGTTCGATTTTCTTACTTTTGGCAAACATTCCGACCAATCATGTATGCAGAATAAAATATTTGTATGAACTCAACAGTCCGATGCGCTTCGAAAATTAAACAAGAATTCTCTCTGTGTGTAACTTCGATTGGATATTATATGCGGTATGCCAATTTATTTTGCTCGCAAAGTATTATGCTTGCATTTCATTATTTGACTTCGATAAACCGGAAACAGTTCAAATAAAGTTCAAGCACGTGGTACAAAGTCTGATAAATAATGTCGATAAAGTGATACAACTGTACAATCATCCAGGAAGTGTTTAGCAGCAGAAGAATTGTTACGAAGAACAAATAAGAACTAGACTAGATAACGATAAAAGATCCGCTCGTAAACTCGTCGATTACTCTAAAACGTAAAGCAAAAAAGAAAACAGGAAATTCTACGATGAAGCTTCGCTTTCTATAACTCGTTAATAAAAAAAAAAGAAAAAAAAAGAAAAAGGAAGGAATGAAAAAGAGTAACGAGAGCTTTAACGCGTATAATTATAAAAATTTTGAAAGTTCAAGCGATAAAAAATAAGAAAAGGAAAGTAAGAAACAAAATTGCGCTTTAAACAATGAGAATAACGTAAAGCTTGTAAAATGTTACACGTTTCTCGACACGATTAAAAATACTGTGCAGAGCTGGAAAGTCGTCCAGTGGAAGAAATGCGGGTCTGATTGGGTTATATTCCCATAGACCCACCTTATCGGACACAATCGTAGAAATAATGTACGCATAGTCATTAATGACCAACACAATAATATCACAAACCGGATCATATAGCACCGCGTGACGGAAGAGACAGACAAGGCGAGCAAAGTACGCCTCCTGCTACTGTGCCGTCCCGCTGAACATACTTCCAGCACAATACCGTGCAAAGCTAGAAGAAACTGCTAGCTGGAGGACACAGAGGCAAGAGTATTCCACTTGCTTCGCTTGACTGCGCCTTTGACGCTCCCAAAGCCACCACCTTAAGATTTTTCGCGGCACACGTTGACATAGTCGTAGGATCTCCGTATTCGAGGTTGATACGTTCGAAGACCCAATGCTTTGAAATTGCTCTATCCCACTGTTCGTCACGCGATGCTATACGATCCTACTTGCAGCGTGACCGTTTTGGCAAATAAGAAAAATACGTGTGCCCTATCTTTACGATTGTGTCAGAGAAGATAGTTCTATTACACTATGAACTATAAAGAACCGCAGTCTTTCCAGTTCTGCACAGTAGAATGGTGGTTGTCAAATGAGTGCGATCATCCAAAGGGGGCACAGACACCGCCAGCAGTGCCGACAGTCATATCAGCCGCGATATCACGATTACGAATTAGATAGAAACACAGCCCTCCCCTCTCGTGCTAGGCTTGAAGAATTTTCGCTCTACGACGTAGCCTAGAATTTCACTCTAGAACGCTATATTTGCCTACCGACTACATTAATCAATTTATACATCGCGCACTTTTCGTCGTTTAAAAGAAGTACAAACAAATGTACACAAAAACCTTACTTCATTATTATAAACTCTAAGACGTATTTACATTTATGTACAAACATTCTGTATCATTATTGTATTGGCTTAAGAAAAATATCAACGTGGAACAATGTACGATTCGTTTGTTTACCAAGAAGAAAAAAAGAAAACGCTGGGAGCAGCGGTGACCGTTCAATTCTCTCCTCCTTTTATGAGCTTTCTAGCTATTTGTGCTCAAATGTCGTCGAAAAGTATCTATAACGTAAAAGGTACTGTAATACGCGAAGTATTTGCAAATTTTTAGAAAAATTGTAGTATGCAAGTATTTATTTCGAAAAATTCGAATTTCTCTCTCAGTTACTTGAAAGTGATAAGAACGTGTAAAACAATATCGAAGTACCGAAATATCAAATCCTCGCTAAGATTATATTTGTACATACTTAAAAAATCATAGCAAGCTATTGATGTTAACTATAATACATAATGTAAATTAATGATAGAATTAAAGAGGAATGTTTAGCTACTCGAACAATAATTTTAACACCGCAAAATGTTCCAGACTCATTAAAATAATTAAATTTCCAATTCCAAACAATATTTAAAGCAATTCGAAACGTTTAACACATGTTCAAAATAATTTGAACCAATAATGACAATCACTTAAAAAAATCATATAAAACTTAATAGTATCAATGAATTTAAGAAGCTTGGAAATTTGCAACATGAAAACAATGTTTCAACTTTGAAAGAATGGAAAAGTTACAATCGTTATAACACGGAAATGTCAAGATCATTATTAATTTGTTTAACCTTCTCCAACGTCTTTAAGAAAAGTAGAATAGAAAATAAAAAACACTATTTATAATTTGTGATTTATGTTTGAAAAATGTAACAAGATTCCTAATTCGTTGATTTTAATGTAGATACATATCTTTATTTTGCGGTACCCGTAAAATAAGAAAATGTTTAATGCTTCTCAAGCTATAATCTATTTAAAAAACCCTTTTTTAAAGTAATGGGTAACAAAATATGACACAATCTAAAGTACAATTTTTTTTATCATTGGACGTAGAATAGTGCATCCATGATTATTGTTCTATCTTACTTGAAACATAGTTTTCCTCATAGAGTTAACGTAATTGCTACAACTATTCGTTCGTATAGAAACACATTTAACATTTTAATTCAATATTTCGACGATGTATCAGACGGTATTTAATTTTAAGGCTTTTACAAAATTGCTATGTCTATACGATTTCAGGTCTGCCTGGAATTTATCATACCGTCAAATACGTTCAATGTAAAATTTTCAAGCAACAAACGATTCGAACCTTGTCAATAAGTTGCTTAAAAAGTTTCGAGAGTGACAGAGTGTGAGAATTACAGTGAGTGAAAGAGAATGAGAGAGAGAGAGAGAGAGAATTGAACGGGCATTTTCAAAAATGTTTAGATAGCAATTTCAACATGCAAACGCCATCCGCTGCTATCAGTCAAAGTAATCGTCGCTGTTTTGCACGATACCGTGTTTCTTTCGACAGTCCGGACAATACCACTTGCCCTTCGGAGGTACCATGATGCCGACACATTCGAAGTGAAACCATTCAATACGACAATCCTCCGCGTCGCAGGCTATCATTTCAGATACCTCGTCGTACGGACATTGACAGTAGCAATATAAATTAACCGGTCGTTCTGGCGCTGGTACATTACTTCCCGTCAAATGCGTCTGCATCTGTTCACTAGCTTCTACTTCAGAATCACTGGAATCACTGCTACTTTCGGCCGGTTCTTCCGACTCGGTTGCGGATGCCGTAGCAATTCCTAGATTCTCCGATTGACTCTCCATCGGCCTGTAGCCTATGTTCTTCCCGCCGAAAGACAATCTCGGTGGTAACGGTTTCATGCTCGGCACTGTCGTGAACGAAGGTGTGTCTACTTTCCTCCATTTTACCGTTGGCTGCTTCTCCACCTCGTCGTCGCTAGAATCTCCGTAGAATCGTTTCGGTACTCTCTTTCGCTTCGACGACCTCTTGATCTCTGTCTCCGAGCCACTACCACCGATATTTTGACCACCTGTTATTCCCATTGCCTGCGATTCAATTGGTGTGTTCATGGTGTGTACATCGTTCGCAGACACATTCGCCACTGTGAGTGCCATGCTCGATTGGACTAACACTGGCGACGAACTTGAATAAGCCGGGTTCTTTTGGTAAAACGCTTTAGGAATGTTTAGTTTAATGGACTCGACGGCTGGCGTCATGTTACGCTGCTTCGTCCTTTCCCCTTTCTTTCGTTTCTTCGATTTTACTTTCCTTTTCTGATGTGATTGATCCTCCTCCGCAATGGCAGGCATCGGGTCTGGTGAGGGTACCACGGTGTCCGTGTCCGTTAAGCCGTTATTCAATGTCATCGTTGACTCTGCAGATGCTGGTGCCACAGCCGCCAGAAGCATTAATTGATTTCGTTTATCCGCGAGCAACTTATTCGCAAGCTGCTGCGGATGTTCATCGTAGAAATCCTCGTCCGTTTCCGTTTCTTCCGTTTCCAAGTCGGATTCCCTCAGCAAAAGCTGCGGTGTACAAACTGGTTCTGCTGGAACCGCGGACGCCCCGTTCTCCATTTCTGGCGAAATTTCTTTATTTTCAAGCTCGCCGCATCCACTCTCTGGCTCTTGCATGCTTTCCTTTTCTTTTTTCCGTTCTTTACGGTTCGACTGCTTTTTCGGAGAACCTTCCGAGGTAGAGCTATCCGAGTCAGAACTACTGCTAGAACTGGAAGAACTACCGGACGAAGAACTGCTGCAGCTGCAGTTTGTTCCGCAAGAACAACTACTCGAATCGCTATCACTGGAAGAATCACTCGACGATGAATTTCCGCCCTGTTTCTTTTTCTTCGGACTTTTCACTTTTTTCTTGTTTGGATCATCCTCGGTGGTGGTGGTGTTGTTTTGAATCGCGTTACCGTCAAGCGGACTTTTCTGTGGTTTGTTTAAATCATTTTGGTCCCCACTCGAATTTGCTTCTTCCTTATCGTTCACTTTTGACTCTGATTTTTTATCCTTCTCTTTGTCCGTCCATACGACACAATAATCATGGTCAGCTAACACTATGCTTCTTAAGAATGCCACGTCGGTTTCTGGCTCTGATTCTTTAATTGCAAGAGTATTAGTTGAATCTTTCATTTCTAAACTAGCTGTGTACGATTTAAAATTATCCCAGATGCCATCCATAATTTGTGCCCCTTGTTCCTTCTCTTCTTCGTTCTGTTCAACCTCCACTATGCTGTCTGCAGCCGGCTCGGAAGCAACAGGTTTCAACTGATCCTCAAGAGACGTTGCATTTTCTTCGGTTGGTACAACTTTCTCGGTGCTTTCCGCTTCCTTAGTCTGCGGCTTCTCGTCCTCGGAGTCTGTGTCACTTTCAGAAGATAAATTCAATGGTGGCAAATCATAAACATCAACAACCTTTTTCACAGGTTCTTTAGTTTCTTTCAGTGACTCGGAAGCAGTCGTGTTGCCATCTGTTACAATCATCTTTTCTTTCTCCGAGTTTTCTTCATCGATCGCCGGTTGTTGACTCGTCATATCCGTCAAGTTCGTGTTAACAGGTGGCGGTTCCTTATGAGCGTTTTCGTGCTTTGTTAATAATTTTCGAGAAATGAAACGCTCGGAGCATTCGCTACAAGCATACGGATGATCTCCGGAATGTAACCTTTTATGTACTTTCAAAGCAACAGCACGTGAAAAACTAGAACCACATTCCTCGCAAACGAAAGCCGTGGGTGGTATACAAAAGTGATAAATATGTGGCCACTTTTTCTGTAAACACTTTTTACACAGTACACTTTCTGTTCCATGCTTCCAAAACAAATGTTTCGTGATGTCTGGTTTGTTCCTGTATGCAATGCCACATCTATAGCATAAATGATGAAGCTTATGTTTCCAAACATGATTCGAAAGACGTTGCTGATTTCCAGTGGATTCCAAGCACACATCGCATGCGTGGTGTCTCTTACGTAAATGAACCATTAATCTAAATGCTGATGGAAGGTTTGCCATAGGACAAAGACAACACCTGTACTTGACGTTAATATTTGGAGAGTACGTTCCAGGACATAAGTGACAAAGCAATTCGCTATAACTATAAAAAGTGGACTTACACATTATACAGATTAAGATTGTCTTTTGATGCATTTTTCGATTATGCAGATAAAGTTCCTTGTGTATGGCAGAGTGAAATCTACAATGAAAGCACTCGTATGTTCTTGCATTTGGAACATTATATGTACCATTTGTGCTACTGTAAGAATCTAAATTAAAGAAGTGGGAGCCTAGCTCATCGAGAGATTTTTTCACTCTTGCGATAAATTGGTCTGCTTGGATAATTATGGCAGGATGTTGAGGTTGAAATTTGTGTTCTGCAAGCATATGTAATCCTAATTGTTTGCCATTAACTGCTATATGACGTGCATGATTACAATAAACACAGAAAGGACTAGCTGCTGCTATACAACGTTTCAACAGATCTTCTATTTCTATGCTATCTAAAATACCGTCCACATTAAGATCAATACAAGGAACATCCTCCCCAGCCAACATGATTCCATCGTTTGGTTGAATTTGAGGCTGTACAGTGCTCTCTATTTGGTTTTGACTGTCATCTTTTGTTTCTTCGTCTTGTTTTCCATCTGTATCTACGTTACTTTCGTTTTCATCCATAATTTCAATCTGATTTTCATTGTTTTCAATGTTTTCATTTGATTCAGTATCAATTTTTGTCTCTGCTTTAGTTTCATCAGTTTCCTCAACTTCCTCAATTTCTTCAGTGTTACTGTCTACCACTGCTAGTTTGAAACTATCAGAATCACTGTCTCCGTCATTCACTTGAGAACTGTTACTATCTTTCTCATTTTTAAAAATATTAGGTTCTTTCTCTTCTGTTAACGAACTTTCCGCATTGTTGTTTTCTTCCGATTTCTTGCTAACATCATTATTTTCTACATTGTCATTATTAGTTGCAACAGAAAACTGAGAATTCCTATTGGTGCATATTTTTATGACTAAACTTCTATCAGAAGTTTCACTGGTATTATATGATACAGAAGACTGAGATTCATTAGGTACATCAAGATTTTCTTTGTTTTCATTTTCACAAGGTGTTTCTTTGGACTGTAAATCGGATACATGTGATTCATGTTGGGGACTAAATAATGATCGACTAATAGGACTATGAGCACTTTCAGGACTTTCAGATATGTGAGAATGAGAGTCTTTTTCTTCCAATACAGTATCTACTGTTTTCTCTTTATCTATATTCTTTTCTGTTTTGTGATTTACAGAGTTAAGGTCATCTGTCCTAGTATTAGTTTCTTCAATTAAATTTAAAGTTTCTGTATCAGGTTTGACCATTTCATTGGAATTCAATTCCGGATTATCAGACATACTTGACGTTTCAACTACACTTACATACCCCTTAATTGTATCATCAAAATTTTCTACATTATTTGTACATTGTGACACCTTCATAATTGTTTCTGTTACACTATCATATGGCATATTATGGCTCGGTGTATCACTTGATTTTAATTCCAAATTATTTTGACAAACCTTGTTTTCACTTGGTTCTTCTTTTTCTTCACAAGAATCTTCAATGTACTTTGAGACTTCCATTATTGTCTCTGAAACTGTATCTTTACCTATGTTGTGAGAAATTTCATTTTGACAATTTTCATCTCTGTTTAATTTTTCATCAAAAACTTGGCTTTCATTTGGCTGAGATACAACTTTATTGTTGGCTTTTTTTGTATGAATACTCATTTTTTGTTGATTCGATACACCATCTTCCATATTTTTAGACCTATTATTTTTTACTGGTTTCCTTGAAACAATTTTGTTTTCACTATTTACAGTTTTGTCGAGCACATGTGATGATATTATTCCTGCTTGTGCAGTATGTGGTAAAGTAGAAGTTGTTTCTTTACTTGTTTCAATAGCTAAACTGCATGTACTTGCATGTGATCCTGTTTGTCTACACAAGGTGCATATAGATGCAGTAACATCTTGCTTAGATGTGGGTGAACAAAAGTGGTTGTAAAAATTATCTGTTTCTGAAAAAACTTTCTCACATGTGCAGCAAACTAAGTAACATGATCCTTTAAAAGCACCATAGAAATCTTCTACAGATGTAAACGCCATTTCTGGAACACTGTGTTTCTTTATTAAATGATGTGATAACCTTTCTGCTTGACCAAACATTCCAAGACAAAATAGGCATATGTGACGCTTATGTATATCTCTCATATGTAAAAATAAATTCCAATTTTCAAAATAAGTACCACACGCTGCACACAGATAAACTTTTCTTGTAATTTTAAAATTTGGAGAATGTGGCACTGTAGATGATTCTGATGTACTGGGCATTGGTGTCATTATGGAATTACAAGTGCACGAACTTTGTTTCAATGTAGAACACAAATTTGATGATGATTGACACTTTGAACACTTATTTTTCGATGAAGGTTGAAGACCCAAATATTGTGCATATTCCGTTATTTTTCCCCTCTTGATTTCTGCCCTTTTTTCTTTGCTACTTTTTGGCGATGCATTGGACTGTTGTGATTGTTGTTCTTGTACTACACTTTTTGGTGTATTTGTTTGTGTTCCTTGAGCTTGTGCCAAAATACGTTTCTTAAAACCTTTAAACACAATTTTTGATCCTGTACTATTATTTTTGCTTGGAGACTCTTTGGTTGTAATAGAATTATACCGCAGTAGTTGTTTTTCTTCTAGTATGTCACTGTATGTGTTGTCAACTGAAGACTTCAATGAATTTCCGATAGAAATATCTTTAAGTTGTTGCTTTTCCAAATTGTTCCACATATCCATAACTTTACTTTCACCATCTTCATCTTCCATAATAGCACTGCTTGGCTACAGTGGTATTACCTACAATATATAAAATATATGTAAATATAAAAATAAACAGAAAGGAACATTTATATTAGAGCATTAATCAAATAAATATTACGTAACAGCCATTATAGAAAAAATATCAAATCAATAAAGAACAACTACATAATTGTAGAATAGTTACTTCATATACTGTTATGTATAAATAATATTGATAATCGTAAGTACTTAAGAAAAATAATAATATTAATAGAGAATTGGATCAAATATTCAGGTCATCATACATGTTAACTTAAAGAAAGTTAGATGCAATGTAAACCAGGCTACTATACCAAAATTAATTATCATTGATGTTACAATTGATACTATAATTGATATATGTACAAAGCCACCTGTTACATTCAACTTATTAACAACTCTAGACTTATTTAAGAATATCACAGTAAGAAATGTTTAAAATTGTAGTCTATACAAGTTTCAAAATACTAGAGTAACTTTAAGGGCATAAACATTTTAGTTTGTCTTAAAAGACAACTCGTATATCAATTAAAAACATTATATATTGTATTGACAATAGTTCACAGAAGATTAAACTTTAAGTTTAAACTACACTCGATTAGGTAACAAGCAATTAATATAATACCTCTGACAGGGGTATTATAAAACTGAGTACATGATGCGACATGCAAAAAGCCCTTCGCTGTGACCACTACCAGTGATGGTAACACTGGTAACACAATGATTCAGCCCCAAAGTTCCCACAAAAACAGTTTACTACGACGTAATTAGTGTTAAAATAAGACGAATGAATGTGTACACAGGGCTAAGACACCGTGGTAACAAGTTTCAGCAAGAAAGTATTGCTGTAAGCTTTTGTTGCATACAAGGATGATCCCAGTGCAACGAGGGTTGCGTACCTTCCGGTAAATTCCGGCTTGAACGGATTGCTTGTAATTACAAAAAAGTGTACACGGCTCGTAAAACGTAAATGATAGAATTGGACGTTCTTGAAACGGTACGAAGTGGAGCACCTTAAGTAGATCGTCGTGATCCGCGCCGAAAAGGTTAGTAAAATGGCGTCATATCAATGAGCACGGCTCCATCCGTGCTTCCAACACGTCTTCAGTGATGCCACCTTTCGTCATGTTCCACTGTAGTCTGCTGTAGAAGAGGTTAGGCCAGAACCATTGAAAGAAAGAGAGTCTGTAGTAATTCAGTTCTGTGATAATTAGTACGGAACTTCAAATCTTCTTTGCAAAACGTGATCCAACTTGAACGCGAGTATGTTGTTGCCTGGCTCACGGTTGTTGTGCAAAAACTCGAAACACGAAACGACAGCATCTCTCGTGGACGTATTCATATACGCCTAATGCAGTGCCTATGATATCCCCACTCTGACTCTTAACCTGACCCAGCCATCTGGAGCGTCACATTTCAGTTGAAACTCAACTTGTTCCGTCACAAATATTTAAATATTAATAATACTATTGCAATCTTTATTAAATTGTCGACTAAAAAAGCTGGTGTAAGACGAATTTTTTATAAAATTTTATCAATAGGTTTTCTCTTGAATCCTGCAATTGTACTTTACGTTTAATCGAAGGAACACATTGGATAGATAGATTACTAATAAAACGTACATATGTACCTTCGATTTTATGAAAAATTATCACAATTCTAACTTAACTCATTAGTGTAAATACATTAAATATGTATATCATAATTAAATTTATTGAAATGTGTTAATATTTCCTTTACTTTGACAGCTATGTGTCTCAATACACAGTGTAAAACAACCTAAGATAGTGAATTTATCAAAAACTTTACTTTGTATTTTACTAATTGTTCTAAAATAAAAAATATTTTGAAAAATATTTTAAATGTTTGTTTACCAACTTTCACAAAAATGTTGTCATTCGATAAATTTTACTTTATATTATTTGAATAATTTTTATGAAATATACAATTCT